AATATTTAAACATAACATAAACATTTTTGGTTATTACAGTATGTACTTACTATAGTGTCATTTTTACAGAGGTAAGCACATTAATCAAATGCATGCTTTAACAGTTAGTGTGGCCGATCTGAATTGATGGTCATATCCAAATCTACAGTATGCTGGTAATCGCAATAAGGACTGTAGAGGACTTAGCCTTCATTTTTAAGCCATTACTATCTTTTTATTTTATTTTAACAAGACAAATAAACAAAACAGAGGCAAGCAAAAATATAAGACAAGCCTAGGTAACCGACCCAACAATTCACAAGAGTCTTTTTTGCAATCTCTTCACCCTCCATTAACCATGAAGCAATTTCTTTGAATAAAATGTAAGAAAGATAAAAATGTATCTCATGTTCAAAATGAGACCAGAGCACTGGGCTTCTCCTGCACCCCAAAAGCAGAAGTATTGTATGGCTAACTCCAGCAGCTGAGAGTTTTAGCGAAAAGAAATCTGTGAAAACAGGAATCTAATGTCACCAAAGTAGCGAACAAGTGGAAACCCAGTGTTGGAATAGCAGTTTCTGTGGCAGTAGTGAGGCCACAAAATTCATCTCTGAGAAAAAGAAAATCCAATTGTAAAGTCATTATAAATAGCTTCAGATGTTTCCTGATAAGTATCCTTGACACTGTAAAAACAGCTTACTTCCACAATAAAATAACATCCTGACACATCTAAGTCATGTGTGTAAATATTTCTTGTGTTTCAGAATAACTGAAAGAGAAAGACTCCTTTCCAAAGAGAGGAGATGGTTTGGTATTTAGTATAAATCGTTACAGCAAAACTGATTTACAGTAGCAATTGAAATAACAGGGGAAAATGAAAAGGAGCTTAAATTGGTTTAATAATGAATTAAACGAAATGTATTGCAAAACAGACATGGAATGAAAAGTTACACATAACATCTAAGTACCTACTGTCATACTTTGAGAAACAAAGTTTTTTTCATTTGATGTCTACTCACCCTTGACTTTCTGTAAAGGAAGGAAGGTTTGTGGTCTTCTCTGCACATTTTTTTTAATTTTGAAGTTCATGGCTTCTTTCCAGAGACAGTTTACTCATTTTTTTCAGCACAACACACACAGTTGTTACAGTTCTACACTCAACGTTCTTTTTTTTTTCATTACAATTTTTTAAAATCAATTCTCACTATTTCATTTGGTGATGGAAATGTCCAAATCTTAGTTGACCAAATAACTATAGACCAGTGGTGTAGAGTGGCCATTGACAGGGTGTAAATTTCAGGGATTTCCAGACATACTCCCTCTTAACACCCTCTGAACAGACAGAAATCACCTCAAAAAACATGATAAACCTGAAATTTTAAAGTTTAAGCAGGTTTCACTTTATCTATCTCTGTCGTGTTTTCTATATGATTCCAATGAAGAGGACGTTTTCTCTGAAAGTCTGTGCTTTAGAACTGATTGATCGTGCATAAATATAGTGTGTACTTATATTACGAGTGTTTGTGAAATTAATTGTTGCAGAGCTGTGAAACCTACAAGTACATACTGTTTAATTACTGATGAGCAGTTTGCCATAGGAAGCAACAATTTTTATCTCTAGAGGGGTCTGACTAGCTTTCAAGTTCCCCTTCTTGTACATTGATTAAAACAAGATTGCTTAACTGCAAATCAGGGTTTTCAAATAAAATAAAATATATCTAATACATATTCTTGCTCAGCAGTCGTTCAGGGGTATCTTGTTAAAAGCTGAAAGACTCTAGGACTGATAACATCAGGTATCAACAAACAGAGAATGAGAGAGTGTTTTATTCACTGTTGAGAGCTACTTTGTTCTTGATAGATATACAGTAATTGGTATCAACCTGCTCTCATTTGCAAACTTTTTAATAGTATCAACAAATAGTGCATGAAATGCTACAGTACTTATTCTATGCAACATTTTGCTTTTGAGAGTGCTGTTACACAAATACCACATGATCATTAAATGTGTTTATATGTTGTGCCTGGCTTGCTCAATAAAGGGCTGCAGGTACTATGGTCCTGTCTCTGGAAGCCACCACATGGACTCTAACTATTGTAAATAAGCACATTGGGAGTTAGTTGTCTAATTATTTAAGTATTTGTAATGGGTATAGAAATACACATTCTCACGTGAGTGTAAAGAGTAATTTGTGTGCTATACAGTATAAAGGGCATGCAAGGCATTAGCAGGGGTTTCTGAGTGATATTCTTATGTTGTAATCCTTAAAAGTAAACAATGAAAGTTGTTCAGTATGTTGACAATCCATGAATATTGAAATTGGATCTGTACTAGTTTTTAAAACTGCATGCACCTGATGAGAATGCATACTACAAATGATTTTGAGCTGTTTGAGCTACAGTATACAATAATTTTAAGCATGGTGTGATAAAATAACATTACAGCTATTGAAGTAGCTATTAAAATATCTCAGGATTTAGAAACAATCAAACAATATGGGCGCTGGAATTTGTCTTCAGTTTCGAAGTAAGGAATGGGAAGATAAGGCCTTTGCTTAACTGTAAGGGTCTGAGGCAGATCAAATGGAATTGTCTGGTTTACTGTACCTTAGTAAAGTTTTTGAAAAACCTTTATGAGTCTTTAGCAATGAGAAACCCAGATATTCAGAGACAGAGAGAGAAAGGAAAAGAAGAGGACCTTGTTTGGCTCAAGAGCAGATTCTAATTAAGTATTTGTATCTTGTTTGCCATCTGTTACCTTAGGAAACTAATTTTCCTTTGTCAAGAATCCTAAGGTTAAAAACGTTCTCTTCTGGTTAGTGGATGCATTTTTGAAATTAGAGAGATAGGGTTCTGTTCACATTGTAGCATTTGGATTATAGTAAATTGTTTGTATTTTGTTTAATTTAAAAGGCAGGTCCATCACTCTTGTTGGCCTGTGTAGATGTTATATAGGATTTTAGAATTCTTTGTACAAAGATCTCAGGTGCAACTATACCCACATCTTGGGTATAGTTCCTGGCATATCTTTTACAATTTAGGGATTAATGGTTATCTTACTTATTGATTATCCTACTCTGTAATCTGGATTTTCTAAACCCTTAACTATAAGAATAACATGGGCTGTATTTATTGGAAAATATTTTCTACCCCAGGTTGTGTGGGACACAAGGTACTATATTGTATGCTTCTCTTTTCAGGCTTCCTTGATAGTCTCTGTTCTCTGATTACACGTTTAACACAACAGCAATGTGTCAGGTTGAATCTAGCAATGTTCTGTTTCCTGTTGTTTTACACTTTTTATGTTCTTCACCTATCTCTCTGGATATTCGATGCAGCTTTTTGTACTTGTTTGTTTTCATTTTTTACTATTTATTTGAGCATGAACCTTTTATAGCTAGTCTCATATTGCTTCTCCCAGATTATTACAAGGTACTGTTCCTATCTTATGATTTTGTGTTTGTTTGTGGTGCAACATTTTAAATGTGCTGAAGGTAATTGCATTAGTAAAGTTTCCAACATTTGCATAGACACATGAATCAGTCTCTTACCTGAACTTAGGTGTAATCCTGTTCACATTTCAAAGATTCTGAGAAACAGTAATGAGATGCATCACCCAGAACAGGGGAAATACAATGTAGCTTGTATCCACGGAGATAAGATAAGATCACTTTATTAGCCATATAGTATACATACTGTATACTGTACAATTTCTATCAGAATGACAGATAATATAATTAAGGATCAAAAACACCCCGGACATGTGCTTTTCTGTCTCCATCTTTTTGAAAGAAGATTTAGGAGCATAAAAGCCTGAACTTCTAGGTTCGAAGAAATCTTCTGTCTCATAGCCATGACACATCTGAACACCACCTCTTAATCCGCCAACCTTCACTTTACACCCTACTGCTTTTGCACTGAACTCATATATGTTCACTACTTGGTTTTTACATATCGCTGCTATTTGAATGAAAGGTGAAAGTTGTTACACTTCTAACATATACTGCTACTATTGTATTCTGTACTAATCTCATGTACTGTTATTGCCACTGACTTTCAGTTTATGCATATTGCCGATACTTGTATTTTACACTGCTACTTTCTGCTTTGTTGTTGACACATATTGTTTTATGTTCTTGTCTCTAACAATCTGTGATGTCATTTATTATGTGAGGAAACGCTCATAAGCATATCATTGTACTCGGGTACAAGAAGGCTCCACGGCCGAAATGTTGTGTTTTCTTTCTTCTTTTTTTCAGCATGGAATAAACCTATTACTTGTTCCTTTGCAGCCTATGCATGCTGACGCAGCTACCCACCTCTTTAATTATGACCTCCAAAACTCCCACTTTTCAACAACAAAACCGATATTTTGAAAGTATGTACATGTAAATAATTGTGATGCCGTATATACAGTAGTTATACAGTAGTTACTAACATACAGCTTTCAGTTTGTACATCTGATGTACACTGTCAGATGTCTTGAATATGATCCATTGTCCTGTATCTGTTTCCAAATGTTCTTGCTCGTTATTGTTATCTATTTACATTTTCAAAGGTAAATTACATACAGTAGCTTGCAAAAATACACAGTACAGGTAAACAAAATAAAAGTAAAATAGTTTGAATGCAGCTGGATTCTATAACATCAGACAGCTGTGCGTGGCTGTAGACAGAAAATGTCTAGAAAGTGAGCCACAGCACTCCAGGTGAGATTTACAAATGCCTATTCATTACCATCTCAGGATCTCTATTCATTACCATCTCAGAGTAATGGGAAGATACTTTTGTAATGAAATGTATATGCATACATGTGTACACTGCATAAACACAGAGTACAGTATGTACTTTTTAAAATGTATATGCTAAGACAATTTCCTAGCACATGTATACGTGATGTGGTTGGGATTTAAAATAGCTTGGTTTCATTACCAAATAAGGAGGCTCTGATTAAAACTCAGCCCATTCAATGGAAAATTAGTTCCTCTTTTCTATATATAAATCATTTAACTTACAGACATGTACCAAGTGCCTTAACAGAGTACGTTGAGTAAGGAGCAGCACTTTACTTTCAATTTTCTTTTTCATCTCTAATCAGAACCACATGGTAAGCGCCTTTCAATTATTCTGCTTTTCAGAATCCACCTTTTTAAAATTTAAATTTCTTTGTTTCTTTGAGCATTCATAATAAAGCGTAATTACTCATCTCTTAGGGAACTAAATAAAACTAGTACGCTACTGTTCTTTACTTTTTTATGTACTTACCAATTTCACTTTTTATGATATTAATAAAATGTGAAATAATACATTAGTCAACAACAGAGGTTTGTGATAACACACTGCCCTCTATGGGCGATGGAGATGTCAAGACACCAGTATTGTTAAACATTGATGAGACATGTTTTTAGCTCATACCTCAGAATACTAAAACTGAATTCTCATTCCTGTTGTGCTTTGTCTTGTCTTATTTACTAGATGAGGTTAGAGTGATATATGTAATCTCCTTATGTGTCATGGAGCTTTTAACAATTATTTTATAATATGAATGTACTCCCTTCAGCCACATATTGAGGACTAGGGATCTTCAGAACTATAGAGACCAGTTGTTTGGAACACAAAAACTTTAAAATGAATTATTTATTAAAGCCTTTATCATTTTTGTATTCCTCAGTGGATGTTTGTGTTTTCACCCTTCATGCTGGCATTGTAATCTTATGATATAGAACATTTTGCGATAGGATTTCTTAGTAGACTTGTTAGTTCATAAATGAAATGTATTTATCTGATCTGTATTTGTATAAAATGCAAAGGTCTAAAGAATCCTACTATTTAAAAGAGCACCCCGTAGTATTAGAAAGAATTAAAGTATAAAATTTGGCTGTTGACATAAGGACAAATATTCTGAATTTGAAAAATCATAATAAATGTAATAAAAGTGCAAATAAAATGCATATACTGTATGTACAGACAAAACCCTAGAATACGAGTCCACATTTTATATTAAATCCACATGCATGGTAAGTAACTAAGTATAAGTCACACCATTAAATATTAAAATTAGCATTTAATAAATGCTTTACTTTACAGCCATCCATTTTATATGATTTTGCCTACTTTTTTAAAAATAAGAGAACTTTTATGATTGTTTCACTGTAGCAGTATTTTCAGTATTAAAACAATCAGTTTTCTGTAATAGATGTTTTCCACATCTGAATACCTACAAGACTTTTACTAGAAAAAAATGCTTTTTAAATGAAATAATGAAATTACTAACCTCTGTTATAGTGACAAAGGTGACGAGATCTTCAGAAATTAAGTTTGACACTTTTATTCCTCTGTTACTCAAAAAAGAATTGTAGCTGAATGCTGCATGTGAACCAATCTGAATTCAAGACTGTGGTATTCCAAAGAAACAATTGGCAACCTTTAATTCCCCTGAAAGACTTTGTCAATTATAGCTTGGCACTGTAGGTTATTTGTACACATACTGTACAGTACGCAACAACCTTTCAGAACTTGGGAGGAATTCATGTCTTAAAAGATATTCACATAAACAAGACATTTCTCAGAGCACTGATAATAAATTAAAAATAGAACATCACGAAGGCTTCAGAAATAGAAAAAAGTTCACATTTATACACCTTAACACCTTTGCATTTCTTCTAATGAAGGTAGACACAATCTTCATAAAAAGAACTGAGATGCATTTGGTTTTTTTAGTAGCACTTATTACAAATGGGGTTTGTGTCACGGACGTCCAAAGGGACTAACCGTGGGGAGCAGGAGAGCAGAAAAAGACCCATATGCGTAGCGGCGAGACGGGAAAAAGGCCCGGGCTCATTAGTGCAAAGAGTTCAGGAATGCCGTATAGAAACCTATGCCCTCAGGGAGTGGACGTGGGGCGCCCTGGTGCTAGGCGGGTCTCAGGACATCCGAACGTCAATGCTGAGCAAGGACAGAGTGCAAGACCCGGAAATATATAGCCCAAGGGAAAGAGAGGGACAGGAAGGACAGCAGACCGGAAACTAGGGACAGGACAGAGAAGGAGCGCCCTCTGGCTGCAGAGGGCGTGACAGTTTGTGTGACACATTCTTTTGCTTGAAACCTCATGGTGACAGATTTTTCATTGCATTCAAAAACTTTATATTGCCCCATCATATCTGTCCTCAATAAACAGATTCTACCTTTGTAGAAAACCTTTTCAAGCCTCAGTGTTTCGCATCTTTATTTTTGCAAAAAGCCATTCCTTTTTCATCATTAAAGATGAGCCACATGATCATTCTCTTTTACTGAAATATCTGGCTTTCAGGAAGAAAGTAGGTGTCAACACCATTAAACTTACTGGAACTCCATTTTCTGTTACCATAAGAGTTGAAATTAAGTACAGGTCCTTGGATTTGCAAACTTTTTGTACAGCAGGTTTTCTGATTTATACTGTAATGTATCCATTTCTGAAATATATACATGTAACACCATTTTGGTCTGTATTAAACTACATACTGTATACTGTAAATTGACTAGGAAGTACAGAAGAAGACTAATGTAATAGTTATTTAGCACCATGTAAGGGCAATTCTATTATATTCTCCCAAACACATACAAAGAATCAGGCCTAATAATATAATCAAATATTGATGGTTCCAATATTTGTTCTTCAGCACCCAGAGAGCTGGTACTGAAGATTGCACATACAGTAATACAGTAGATCTAACAAGCTTGAGGTTTTATAGCACAACTGTACAAAAAGACTGTTTTCAGACTGCTCTAATTAGTAAAAAGCTGCAATAACGAAACCTTTGATAGGCAATATTGCCATCTGTGATTAAAATGTACACTCTGCAAAATGGAAATGCTAGAATTGTATTGGATTTCTAGGGATTATTATTTGAAGGTAAAGCAAAAAATATTATCGTTTCACCAATTTATTTTCCATAAAGTCTACAGTCTGCACCGTTGAATGTACAGTATCAAGATGCCATACAGGTTAACTACAGTACCTCAAGTCATGCAAAATTAAAACTAGAACACAGTGTCTTCTAGATTAATTTATACAATAGAATCAATGAAATAGGAACAAACACCATGATAGAAGCTGATGATTTACAAACTATATAATGTGTCTTGCATAAAATGGTGTATAACATTTAGGGAGCCACATTTTTTGGCATGGAATTCTGCTGAAAGAGGGTACCGAGGTGCTATGCTTTTTGCATAAGCTCAGTCTCTTGGAATCTGGATAAAATCGATTTTCCACACGGTGGTAGGCCTTGCATTTCTAAACTGTGTGATTCTCCACTGCCTGGGCTGTGGTAGAAGCTGGAGTTGCCAATGAGAATCCTGCAGGAACTCCAGTGAATCTCAGTGGGGCTGGGACTGTACTTTTCAGAGCAAGACAGAGTTATGAAAGGCTGGAACCTATTCCCTATTAATGCATAACAGAATGGAATGTTTTCATAAACAGCTTGCTCCAACTCCTAGGCCATAAAGCAAATCAATGAAATGAGAAAGACAGGCTTAGTAGATTGTTTTCATTTGTGAACTTTGCTATGCTGTAATATTTTCTGCATTTGGTGGTTTTTCCATTGCCATGTCTTTACAGAATACTTTGAGACGGCACTGAGGTCAGAACAGATCAGAACTATGGAGAAGAAGACAAAGATGATGTTTGTCTTTTTATGTGTGCAAGGTACTATTATTGTTTTTGTTGCTGTTACATAGTAGAATGCCCTAGACTGCAGAAGCTTAAAGAAGAAAAATGTTTTAACTCTAAATCTTGGTGGACAGGTCAGGGTTTCATTATGTTTAACATAAGTTTAATCTGTGTGGATACAATGGAGTCTGTAATAACAGTTCTTAAGGAGAATGTTGGAGGATTTAAAACACTGCTTTAAATAACAACCATAAAGCACAGGCTTTATTTGTCTTTCGTGTTCTCGTTTAGGTTTTGCAATGGAGAGTTCATATTAGGCGATTGAGCACAAATGTATTTGAGGCACCTGTACAGGGCGTAAGATGTTTGATTACTGTAAAGACATCAAGAAGATGGTGCTCTCTGATTATTGTGAGGAAAGTTGAATGCAAGGCATAAATGAAATAAAAAAATATGATTCTCTTCACATTAAAAAATGTTGACTTCCTTCTCTTTCAGTAATTCATTGCCCTGCATTTGCTAATACCTGGTCGATTGAAACAGTTTCTGAAATCAAATCTCTTGTGGGATCTTGTGTGGTTTTGCCCTGTACTTTTGATTATGAAGGACATGATGTGGCTTCCTTTAAGATGAGTGGCTCTTGGCATACAGAAGCAAAAGACCCGGAGTACATCTATCACACAGATATTAAAAAGATTATACTAAGTTTTCATGGCCGGACGAAACTTGTTGGAAAAGTGGGGGAAAGAAATTGCTCTCTGGAGATTGATAAAGTTAGTGTCAAAGACAAAGGACCATATTGCTTCAGAATTGAAATAACCGGTGTAAACAGCTACTCTTTTATGCATGATTGTGTATCAATTGATCCACAAGGTAAGAGACATCACTTTTTACATATTTCTACAGTTCTCTCTTGAGCAAAAATGGTCTCTACTTGCATCGACAATAAACACATTTCTCATATTTTATGCCACTATACTTAAAGTAATATGTTGTAATAGAATGTAAAAACAAAGTAAATATATCCATTTATCCAAAATAAACAATTGTCCTGACAGCGGGATATATAAGGGAATAATTGAATATTTAATAATAAGGAAATCCAAGTTTTAAATAACTTTTACTATTTTCTAGTGGTACAGCAGTACCACTCGTGATTCTTACAGTAATAAGGGTAAACCACCTGTCTTTGGGTGGGTACTTTGAATTTATAAAAGCAAAGTTGATTTACAGTACAAGTCTGTTTAATTATGCTTGTTGACATCACAAAATTGATCATTTGCATTATCATTAATTCTTAGTCATTACATGGTATCAAAATGACTGAATGGATTATGCAAGGTAAATACATGATATATGTCTGTTTCACTAGACAAAATTAACTATGCCCTGCTAATGAGTCCTGCTAAGAGCAACAGATGTTCATAAAGCTTGACTTTATGCATACAAAATGGAATTTGAAATCTTGGCAGTCTTTTCTTCAGTTATTGTGAAATTGCAAGCTGTAATTAATATTCACATATACTGAATAGTATTCATAGAAATGTCTTTCTCTCAAAAATACTCAATAACCCAGCAAAAGTGTTCCTTGTTTGAAAGTTACTGTATACTGTATCGTCGACAAACTGTATCGTCAATTGTATTGTTAAGCGCCTTGGGGCAACTTTGTTGTGAAAGGCGCTATATAAAAATACATTAAATTGAATTGAATATTGTGAATGGATGAGCATTAAAACTCTGTAGTTACTTGTTTTGTACTCTATATCTTCTCCTAGGCTCTCCAGAAAGTCCTCTCCTGTTTGCCCCAAAGACAGCACATGTGGGCACTACCTATAATGTCAGCTGTTCAGCCAGACACACCTGTTCTACACACCAACCCTCTCTCAAATGGACTGGTATTAGCACAGAGCACACTGTGTACAAAGACCTTGGCCAAGGCATCTGGGAAGTGCTGTCCACTGGGACATTCACACCCAAATCCACAGACAATGTACACCTGACCTGCACTGCTGAGTTCTGGAGAGGCAAGAGTGAAACGAGCTCTGTTTCTATAACAGTTCAAAGTGAGTACCATTATTGTAGGTGTGAAATACGACTTCTTAAAAAACGTTTTTAGAACAAATGTTTTAAAGATTAAATATAAAACGCTGATTCCTTTGTGGTTTTGTGTAGATATTACCGTCCAGTATTGTACAATTGCCGATGGTTATTCAAATGTCAGACTAAAGAGATGTAAATAAGTATAATTAATAATTATCTTGATTTGATAGCCAGAGCTATCAATATACCAGTTTGTCACAGGCCAGCTGTTGAAAGTGCTGTAATTAAAGCTGACCTGCCACTACAGGTCACTAAGTGTAAGGGAGTAGGAATGTAAGTTCTCACATACTGTAATTCAACTCAGTGTTTGGTATTTAAAGGGCATGGTGAGTGTTGGGGAGGGCGTTTTTTTAATTATTGTGCAGTCTGAAAAGACCTAAATTAATGTCTCCAAAGTTGTAAATTTTGTGAGAACACATCCTACCAACTGCCCTGGTAATATCTGTCACACACTGATAAAGTACACGTTTTCACTATATTTGAATAGGAAATATTGGCAATATTTAATATGATGTGCTGCCCAATTATCTGTAGTTCCAACAATTTTCAAAGGAAAGTACCTTTGGGAAGAACAAAAACAAGGATCATTGAAACCTGACCTTTTGCATAAAGTGCATTGTCAAAGTAATGTCTGAACTTGTACAGTGAGCACAATCTTTCTTAGGTCAAGAGAAAAAAAAGAGGAACTGTTATTGTTACAGTTAGTCTAAAACAGTGACTGAAAATGAATACATCTGCAATTATTAATTTCTATATTCAGAGGCATCCTTGAACTTGAATAATACTACTTTTACTAAAATACGAATTTAATTGAATAATACAATTATTAATTAAAAATATCGTAAGAAAAACTTTATTTTTTGTTATCTTTTCCCCTACACAGCTGGTCCAGAAGCAACGAAATCTCCCACTGGTAATGGTATGTTTAACAGATTTCACTTTTTTGCCATTCTTGTGAGTAATGCTCTGTCCCATAAGCCAACAAAGCGGGCTAGTTGACTACAGAGAACGAGCCTACTCTTTCACAAAGCACAACTAGTGATGTCATCAACATCATTGCACTTCAAGTCACCTGTTGTGTGTGTCAGGCTCTTTTGTCTCTAAGCACTTACTGCACCAGTTTATTACCAATTCTTTTTTTTTTTTCCCCAGAGGTTGATAATGCAGGACTTGGTGATATCTGGAAAGTCAAACTTATTCCTGAAATAACAGCCGTAATTGGCTCCTGTGTGGTGATACCCTGTGGGTTTCAATTTCCTGGGGACTTGAAAGTCCATTCAATGGTGAGAAGAATTTGGAAAAATAACAAAGGAAACATCTATCACAATGACCAAACACAAGTGTTGGACAGCTTCAAGGGCCGCACAAAGCTTGTTGGAGAAGCACACAAGGACGAGAATTGCACCTTGGAGATTAATGAGGTTAAAACACACGATAAAGGACCATACTGGCTTAGAGTAGAAATACCAGAAAAGGATAACTATTCCTTCAAAGAGAAGTATGTAACAATGGCTTTGAAAGGTAAATTAATTTAAAATACTTATGACATGATCAGTATTTGGTTTTGATGCTCATATAACTACACATCACTTGTTGAATGGTGTTATCAGCAAACATCATTAGATGTTTACAGTATTAATGGGGAATTCTGAACTGAAAATAATATTATTGCAAATGTAGAGATTGGAGAAGACATGGTCAGCTCAATCATTTTAGATTAATTTGTCAAAACAGGCATGCAAAGTCCAAACCTGATTTCACAGCCCCCTAACTCACAATGTTACCATCCTGTTATCCCCACAACTCTAGCAGAGCAAAATCAAAGTTACAGTGTTTAAATAAAACATAATTATTTTTGTTCCCTGTACAGGGGTAAGCTGGTACAGCATATGACATACCATTTACAAAAGGAACACTATCCAATCAATACTCAGAGAAAAGCTATACTCGACTAAATTAGACTTACCCTCCATGTATAAACATATAAAACCTAACCTTAAATAGAAGTTGGAATTACTAGTTTTAGCCTTTTTTAATGAGAAAATGCTTGATTGCTGTAATTATGATATATATAATTAAGTTTGCTTAACTTTTAATACTGTGTATCTTTTGATCCCGAAACGCTTCACAGACTGATTCTTATCTTACAAACAGTGCCATGGGATTTTTTACTGATGAAGTAGTTAGGACCTCATTCTATTATTTCAGCTGAAGGAGAATGGTGTCCTTTATTATGATACAGGAGCATTAGTTTCAAAACTGTGGTCCAGAGGAATGAATGTCAGTTGATAGTCCATGAGCACTGGTAAACATACATCAGCAATCTGTTTCTCCTGAGAGACCTCCCAGTATAGTACTGACCAGACCCAGTTTTGCTTGGCTTCTGAAATTTGAGAACATGAAGATTTTACAAACCCTGCTGTTTTTTTTTTCTCAGGTGAACCAGAGAAACCCATGCTGACCTACACACAATTTGCCCATGCGGGCTCTGCCTATAGTGTCACGTGTTCAGTGAGACATAGCTGTCCGACTAACCATCCCACTCTGTCCTGGGATCGGACGGATGGAGAGACCATCGTTCACTATAAAGACATTGGCCAAGGCAACTGGGAAGTGTCATCAGTCCTGACATTTACACCTTTAGCCAGTGACCACAATACACGCTTGACCTGCAGTGCTCAATTCTTTAAACTTAATAATCCACAAGAGAGCTCCATCACTCTAAATGTAAAAAGTAAGTATTAACTGCAAAACATAGAGGGCTGGCCTGTCTGGTTTGCTCTCAGTGGAAAAAAAGACCTGGTTAGACAGACTGAAAGTACCTTATTGAACCTCTGTCAATACATGTTTGTTGATTTCTTGTGAGTATTTTTTTCATCCATAACCAGTTGAATGCTTACTGTATTTGCAGTTCTAACAGATGTGATGGAAACCATTTTAACACAATAACTAATATCAATTAATATCAACTATATACTTTAATCTCATTGTATGTCATTGTACAGTATGTAAAAAAAGAACAACTGTCTTTTTGTTTGATGTTTATGAATGGGTATTTTTAGTTTTGTTGCAGGAATTGTTAATTGTAATGAATGGTTTCCACAATTAATGAAAACAGCAGATGCTGAATCTGAACAGTTTAATTTTGATAGAGATTTCGTCCCTCCACCACCACCAGTGGGAAGCCCCACCTAGACGTTTCACAAAATAAAAAGTAGAGTAGGACAATGAAACTTGTCAAGTTCATGACACTCACCAATGTCAAATGAACAGTAGCAGGCCTGTTATCTTAGTGGAAAAAATGTCTGTATTGTATCTGAAGCAGAAGCATAGTTACTGTAGATGTGTCCTGGTAATAAATGATATGATGTCCTGTATGGAAGAAGCACAACAGCACTGCATTAATGAAGTGATTTTTTTTCTTAGGTGAAGGAGGTGCTGTTGGCGTCCTCAGTATTGCTATCCCGGTGGCTGCGGTAGTAGTGATCGCGATCATATTAGTGGGACTCTACAAGTGGAAGATAAGTAGACTGAACACGTAAGCATGCTCTGTGCACATCCCTGTTTTGTTCAGATCATTGTGAGAGGGGTTACTGAACACAAATGAAAGTGGCATTAAGAGTAGTCTAGAACCATTCTAGACATAAAATTTGTGTGAACGTTCTGCCTGTTATTGTATTGTTTTGATACCTTTTTCAGAACTACTGTTTATGGTCTTTTTTATATCATCAACCATAAAGAGCTGCATTGCATGTGTTACACGATTAAGGAGCTAAGGGGGATATATTTTTTAAATTTTCTTTCAACACATCTAATAGAAATACCAGCTGTTCTTTAATACAAAGGCACTTAGCAAAAAGACAAGTTTAAATTGAGCCCTATCTTTTGCTGATGTAATACTATTACTTGTTTAGAGAGTGGCAGCTTTGCGATGCGATTTCTTAAAGCTTCTTCCATAATTCTCGAATTTTATTCAAACTTAAACAATACTAGCATAGAACATTGCATATTGCTCATACTGTAGCTCAGTTTTAATTATGTTTCCTTGCTTCCGCCACTTATATCATTACTTAGATGTCTCTGAAGTGAGCAGTGACCTATTCATCTAAAAAATCAAGAAACAAATTGTGAGTGGGTTCTTGAAATCTCTGTACAGTGACACTGAAAAAATGTGAATGTTTCAGTTTATATTCAGTAACCCTTTAAGAACAAGAAAGCAAGACTCAGGATAAATAATGATCTTAACATCTGCCCTGTCTCTGATGAAAATGCTTATTTTACCAAAGTTTATATAATTTACATGTTTTTTTTTTCCTTCAGGGAAGCAAATTAGACTCTGAAGAGAGCTACTGTATAGGCTGTTACACGCTAAACACATGGTCTGTGCTACACTTAGATCTGGGAAGTGATTTATGCAGTAACACAAGGCAGGATGTACTGTAGGGTGCATTAGATTGTCTAAAAAATTGTATGCTGTGTTGGCAACTGGTCCCAGGTCAACTAGATATTTTACAACCAGAAGTTTTTTTCGTCTCTTAAACATGACGTGTAACACAGACTGGATATTTTCTATTTGCATGATTTACTATTGCGCTATTTAACCAAAGTGTTGCTCACCAACGTTAAGAAGGCAGTGCTCGGAAACCTAACTAATGGTGTCATTGAATAGAAGTTCAAGAGTGGAAGTTGTATTCTAATTTTTGCTTCCCTGAGCATACACGCTCACTGACTGAACACAGCTCTGCACAAATCTTTCCGGTACCCCCTCCTTTCACCCCAATATCACAATTGTCCCTGGCACATACCTCATAAATGAGAGGGGATGTGGCAGCGCTGATCTCCACCCAGCTCTGTCATTTCCTCAGCCAGGCAAGTTAAAGCTAAAGTACTAAGCACACTCTTTCATTATATTCATCAGCTGGTTATTAGAATTTGACTGAACTGAATTCCCACTTATTAGATTCTACAGGAAAGTGAGTGTTTATGTTTGAATTCAGACAGAGAGATAAGGTTGTGTGATGAATGAACTGAACAGTATTTGTAGGGGTGGTTCACTGTTACAGTATATATGATATCTTCCAATGTAGTTCAGGTGGGTAACTGCGTCAGCATGTGTAGGCTGCAAAAGAACAAGTAATAAGAGTTCTTACACCTGAAGAAGGCTCCACAGCCGAAATGCTGTGTTTTCTTTCTTCTCTTTTCAGCAGGGAATAAACCTCTTACTTATATCTTCCAATGTGTCTTTCTGATTACAGAAGTAAAACTTAGTTTGTTCTGCTAATAAGGCCTTCACACAGTGAACCATCCAAATAGCTCTGCGCAATTCATTGCTAATTTATCTTGGGTAGGTTGACCTTTTATTAGGCTACTGTGGATCTGCTTTTTGGGAGCCAATACAGCAACACATACGATTACTGACAAATACAAACTAAGTATTACAGTATTAATTCATTTAAAAAGAAACCTCACATTAATCTCAATCTTAATTTTACTTGAATGAAAACCTTCTAATTTGCTTCCCTAACATTACTAACTAAAATTTTAGAAGATATGTCTATTTTTGGAATCACTTCTATTTTAACGTAATAAAAATACATTTTACTTTTGTTCATATACCATTATATAAAATTTACAATATATCTAGTGTGACCTGTAACCCTTACTTAACCGCTCAGTTTCTATTAATTGCTATAATTGATTAGTTGTTTGTAAATATGTTGGGGGGTTTCCAAACTACTTTTGTAAAGGTGTATATTGTTTTGCTAATGTTTTGAAGAAGAGATAGTGCTGTTATGCTACAATGTTCAGCCAGTAGTTTTCAAATCTTTATCATATATTTGAATTGTAAAATATACTAATCATATCTTATGCATTCTACAACTAATAAATTATTTTAAGGCACCCTCCTCTTTGTGTCACTTTCATTTGTGTATCAGAATTGTTTAACACAATTCAGAAACGTTTTCCTCAACCAAAGCAATTCATACATCTTCATTCCTATTTAAAAAAGATCTTCAGTTCGTCAGACTGTCCTGATATAGTGAGAAAATCTCAAAGCTAGCAAGCTACAAAGGTTCTTAAAAGAGCTGCACAGTAGAATGACCTTCCAAGGTAAATTGGTAATGCGCAGAGATGTCATTGTAGAAGTGTAAGCAGTCAGCTATGAAAAATGCAAGCCTGTATATTTGGATTTGCAGGGCACTAGTATTGACTGATCTTCAGTAGAACATCTCCCGAAACTCTCAAAATCATTTATTTACAGGATTGCATGTGGTAAAAGCCAGATCTTCAAACTGTGACCTCCACCACTGTCTTTCTCAAACATGACTTGTAGCTGTAGCTCGCAAATTACCTGTCTCCACAGGCTAAGTTGCTTAAGAAATTCAAAAACTTTGAGGTACAAACACTGAGTTTAGCAAAACTCAATGATTCATCTTGAACCAGAGAAGACAGCAAGACACTCATAACGGAAGTAAATTTAATACCTTAAAGAGGGCAAGACATTGTTCGAGTGTCACCCATTCTTCTGAGTGTATTTAGTCATATTACAGTATGTGCGTTTCAAGACCTCCACTGAACATAAATGGGATTTCTCATTTTCCTTCTCATGTGACTGAACTGGCCCCGCAGAAGTTCAGGGAATCTTGGTGGCCAACAGTCTTGGAAAAATCAAAGGCAAGTACAGAGCGTGAAGGGAAATGCACTGACACCAGTGGGCTGTGAAGGGTTCTGTTCATGCTCACATCTACAGTACATAATCACATATCTTCACAGAAAGGTTAATAATTTATTAAGTCTAATACATACCACTTGTAAATGTAAGCCACGGGCAGGGAGAGAATAGTTTTGCAAGATGCTGTCTTTATTGACAAGGTTTTTCAAAGCTTAAAAAACTTTTTTTCACAAATTAGCAACAGTAGTTTAATCTGTAGGGTGTAATTTCTGACATGTACTTTCAGTAAACATATGGGTTCAATCCCAGGTAGGGGCAAGTGATGTAGCTTGCTCTGATTCCTTCCAGACGGCTTCCAGGTCTACTCAGCCTGCTTTCTTAATGAGTACTGGGGGTTAATCCTTTCGAGGGCAGTAGGCCAGTGGAAGTGTGATGCTGCCACATCACCTGGTCAAGAAAAACAGTGGCCCTTGCCCCCCATTCCCCATGGGCCTTGATGGCCTGAAAAGGGATCTACCTACAGGCACCTAATTAATGGAAATAATCCTCTTTAGTCATAAAACTCCAAAATCTTTTGAAGCAGTACATATGTTCATTTAGATTTTTTAAGTTGCTTTAGTTTTTAGATTTCTGTTGACTTTCAGAAAATATTCTTTAATTGTGTTTCATATAAATTTCAAATGAAAGCCACATCACCCAGTCACAACTGAGCATGAAATATATTGTTCTGTGGAGCTATGAAAGTTCAAGTTGTTCAAATCACAGTCCTCTACAACCTAAATTGCATGCTAACTATGCATTTTGAAAGATATCGACATAATATTTCCTGAAATTCTATTTATCCATTCTAATTCCTGCTTCTTCAGGACCCAACAGACAAGTCAAGGTTGTGACTCATGGGGATTGAATCGGAGGTAAGGATCATTATCACTATCTACATCAACAACAACAGATGCAGTGAATATAAATCTCCTGACAGGAAGGCCTGAGACATTTCTTTAGCAGTGGCACCTACAGTATACATTCTGGCAAGTTCCAGTGTGTCTGCATTCCAAAGATCTTGGCCTGTGAAGATGACGTCATCACTGATTCTCTCCCCTACACAAGAGATCATGGCAATATTCTTACCAAGAGATCTTAGGAGGGTGTGTGGGGCCAAGTAGCTAATCCACTACAGAAATGTATGTGTAATGCTAAAGAGTAGTGCAGGCTGAGCTCTATGGTCCAGACATGGCTTGTTCAAGTCTAAGCCCTATCATTAGGTGGTCCTGACTGCGATTCCCTCAAGAGATCTTTTGGTATCTCATCTCATCCAAAAGACGGCGCCCACTACAGTATAGTGTCCCCACCACTATACTGGGGCATTAAGACCCAGACAGACTGCAGGGTGGACACCCCCCACTGGTCCCACTAACACCACTTCCAGCAGGAACCATAGTCTCTCATCCAGGTACTGACAATGGTACAGGCTCAATGCTGCTTAGCTTCAGTGGGTGGCTAGTTGAGAGCTGCAGGGTGATATGGTTGCTGGCTTCTGACAAGGAGGCGTTAAATTCCAATTCAGCCTTACTCAATCTACTACCTAAAAATTTCCCCCTTTATTCAACAGGTTAAGCAATTTCTTCTTCTTTCTACCTGCTATTTAGTGGGCCTGCTGAAGCAGAAGTCTCCAAATGGAGATATACAGTAAATGAGCAATATTGTATACAGTATGTTGTAAATGCTGTTGTGACAGGCAGTAATGGTTACACTATTAGAAAAAAGTTCAGTAGAAGGGGTAAGGATAAAATGTTACATTTATTTCTCTGTTGGTTTTAGGACCCAACAAACAGACAGCTGTGGTGCAAGGGGATTGGATCAAGGGTGAGGTTTTGTACTGTTGTTGCAACTTAATACTGACTGACCATTGAATGTACAGTATTAATGATAGGCAGCTCTATTAAGTACCATTGATTAGTACCATTGTACCATTAAGTATTCCCTGCTTTATCCATACTGAGGTGTAAATGAGCATCATATTGTATGTGCAGTTGTGTCAGGACTGTAAGGTTTGTGATATAATGAATACATTTTGCAGAATTGGTAAGGATAATAAATTAATATTTACTTTTCTGTTGATTTTAGGAGCCAACAAAAAGACAGTAATGTTTCATGGGGACCGGACCATGGGTGAGTTTTTGTAATATTTTAGCAACTTCATACTCAAGGCCCATCGAATATACAGTATGAATGATAGGCAGCTCTGTAAAATCCCATCAGATATATCCTGCTTTGTGATTTTCAAGAAGTTAGTCTGGTAGATTACCTATAATTCTAGTCTTTATAACAAAAAACAATTACATGATTTACACAATGAATCATAGGTGTTTTGGGGACATGTCATAATGGCTACAAATGAAATGAAGTAATTGGGACCACTAAGCTCATTTGTTTTTTAGCAGCTAAATGATTGAAGGATCCCATTTGTTCATTCTTAAAAGAACTAATGGTACTATTTAATTATATGGCTTGGTAACTTGTTCCAGACATCTATTATACTTTATGTAAAAACGTGCCTTCTATTTTTCTTCGGTTTTAAATGCACTTCCTCTTAGATTCCATTAGTGTCCCAGTGTGGTTTCTGTTTCACTATTGATTCTGAAGTTCATTGTCAGTGTGTATTTCAAAATGTTGAAAACTCGGATCAGATCCTCTTGCAGTCTTCTGCATTTAAGACTAAAATTCCACCTGGTCACATCTCTGGGCTAATTCCAGAGCAAATCAAGGTTTCTTCAGGTAGCAGGTAGAAAGGCTTCACAAATGAAGCCCACATAAAACCCCACATCAGCAAGCGAAGAACATACAAACCCCAAACAAAAAGGTATCCCAGCCCAGAACTGAATAGTGACAGCTTTCAGACCACTGTATCACATTCTTTTCTGTGACTATGTTGCACATTGACTATGCATTTCTGTAAATTTGTCTTTACGTGGTGTTAACCCGCACTTTCCTTTCAGGATTTGTGGGTCTGATACAAGCTGTGGTGCAGGCGGTGAGGATAATGGGTAAGGTTCATATGCTATTGTTAGCTGATGCATACTGTACTGTATGTTGACCTCCTTAGTGAGAGGCAGCTGTGAGATAAACTGTTGCCTTATCTGTTGTGTCTCCCTGCCTGAACACTGAAGCCAATTTTACTCTTCAAGACCAACAGACTTTCCATGAACCAGGGAATGAGCAGCGTTACGCGCCCCGATAGTCTAGGGGTATATGGAGTGCAACATTAAGGGAATTCCAGGCATGCAGGGAGAAATCTTTGGTGTGGAAAAAAGATAGTTGTAACGAATTTGGATAGGTAAACAGAAGTGAAATATGTACAATTTGAATAGGTGACTGGTATGGGGGTAAAGAAATATGTGTGGTGCCAAAGGAACGAAAATAACAAACAAAATGGAGCTGGCTAATTAAGTGAGGGGAAGCTGACCTAACTACAAAACAAAATATGAAACACCCGGTCTTCGGCGTCTTCTAACGCCCTAGCTAACCTTCACTGACTACCCAAAACCATACAAGACAAAAGGCACTCACCCGTCCTAAACTAGTGTTACTAATACAAAGACAAACTACGTGCGCACCATGTTACCTGACAACCTTAACTAACCCTTTACACAAAAGTTCACACAAATACACAAGTGAGCTATGAATACAAATAAGAGAAAACGAGTGTAGACACTAGGAATAGGGTACAAAAGAGCACAGAGGTTGATATAACACTTTTGGGCAAGGTAATGGTGAAATAAGGGATAATACAAACGAACTAAAGTACAAGGAGGAGACAAACACAAACCAACAAAGCCGAAGCTATACGGAAACACACACATGAAGTGAAACAAACGAAAACGAAGAGAGATGAAGCCGAAGCCAAAGCCCTACGTTCTGGAAATCTCCAAGTTAAATACCCAAGAAGTTGAGTTCTGATTGGTCGAGAAGCTGATTATGAATTACGTAATACGGCAAGGTGGATGAATTAATGAACCAACGGGGAGAGAGAACAACAAAAGTAAGGTAGTGTGGAACATAGAAACAACAACAACAAAAAAAAAACCATAGAAACAAAACACACACGGACCACTCTGGTACTGTATGTAAGAAGCAGGCTTGAGCACATCAGTAGCTCTACAGTCAGTGGCATTTAGTTCACTTACAGAGCAATCCACTATCCCATAGTGATAAATGATAATTTTATTGGAATGATAATAGTACAGCTCGACAAAGAAAAAGACAGACTGATTACAGTTCCAATTTTGAGGAAATAATTCCTCTTGGTTTATGTTACTTGTTATAATTACAAAACAGGAAAGGGTTTCCACATACTTACTGAAATATTTAGGAATTTGATCAAATCCAAATCCTATACTGTTATACAGTATATTTCATAAAGTACAGTATATGTAGGGGTGAAGCTCAATGTCTGCATTAACAAATCTTTCATTTTTTTTGTTTAATTTCATTATAGAAAACAAAAACCTATTAAAAGTAAACTTGAACTGGAACTTAGATCACAGATGGGGAATGTGTATGAAAGTCTGTGGTAAGTATATTTGAGTAGGTTAAAACTCCTTTTCCCTCTCTTTTCACTGTGTGGAGGGTGCAGAACAATGGTTAGGTCTCTAGCATTTGGATGTGAGAGCAATCCTATCTTATAATATACGATGTCTTGAGAATTTTCTGTTCTGTTATCATCACAAAACCAAAAATAAGTTTAGCTTTGTGAGCCATGACAAGGTATTGTGAATAGTTCAACATAACTTTGAATTGCACTGGTGAGTTTAGCACCTTATTAGAATGTTTCTACTGTACATTATAGATTTGCAGCTACAGATAAGGGTGCTTCATGAAGAACATTCCATATATTTTGTAATGAGATGGGAATACAAAATTCTATCTTGAAACTAAGACACAAATACTATAAAGGGCAAAGAGGAAATCTACTGTTATCCCAGAAAAAAAGTCCCCAGGACCTTTGTCGAAAGTAGATGGGGAAACATATTTCAGTATTGAAATGAATGCATCACTAACAAAATCAGAGGTGTACTAGCCAGATGATAACACGGGTAGGAATAATAATTTCCTCAAATATAAACAACAATCCCTTAATTAAAATGAAATTAAATTAAAGTCTGGTCTCTTTAGTGCTCAAATTACCTGGGCAATTATTTCTGGACTGTGAAGGTGAAAAGTTGAAATCGTTTTTATACTAAAAATATAAATCCAGCTGCATGCAGATAATAATCAGTGACTTCTGGTGTGGAACTATTGAGTACGTTTTTCTGTTTGTACATGCATGCTTAGGGTTTTACCACAGAAAGATCACATCTGCATGGTTCCGTCAACAAAGGTCAGGACACTGTAACACTATGATTGATACAAAATTGTTTAAAGTACAGTAAACAGCAGTCTGCATAGTTTTATGTCCAATTTAAAAATAGGAAAAAAATGCCGAAACGTTGTGTTTTCTTTCTTCTTTTTTTTTTCCAGCATGGAATAAACATATTACTTGTTCCTTTTAAAAATATATACATTTGTATTTATACAATGAAATATATGATTGTTACTGGTTCATACCTGTTACGCCTGCCTATAGGTTATATAGACAGTAATAATCACACCAGTTTTTTTGTGTCAATTTTGGCTTTACAATACATTCTAAAATTCATTTAAAAAGTACGAAATAGATCAAGTGTACATAAATAATTTGCTTAACTTCATTAGGAAATCCCACAAGGGTGGATATAGGGTTGAAAACTGGGTCTTAAAATAAGAAAAACCCTTTATTCTTAGAAAAGTCTGAACTCAGGCTTAACACATGCAGAAAGTTTTTATCTCATTGGAACAGATGCGCGGTCATGCTCGAATGTTTCATAGAAACCAGCAACAGTTCACTGCTGCAGCACTTAATTTCACCACATTTGTAAACACAATTGTAAAGTGTTTGCTCTGTGCTGAGTTTTATCTGAAAAAACACAACAGCCCAAACAGCGACTTGAACCCTACATCTGATGCTCTACTGCCTGCATGACCTCCCAGTCTTCCTAGCACACTAATGCCCTATACACATGGCGTTACAAACACAAAAGAAGACAGGGAGGGGAGGAAATGAAGAAGACAACTGTTTGAATCCTCTCCTATATTGCATCTTCAAGACCCAGTATCATTCACAATATGCCACATTTCAGCTTCCTGCAGCTGTTATTTTCATGGTGTTGAATGGAAACTGATAGTCGTAAATAAATCAAGTACTGTACACATACTGTACAAACTGTCACGATTATAGTCCCCCCTCCTTAAGGGTGCTCCAGCCCTTTCACTTTAGACTTCATTCTGTGTACCTGATCCCTATGCCCAGCCCACCTTAAAAGCCAGGCGCTGACGCTCATCCTGGCTCTGCATCTGGTTTCCGCACCGTGCGAGTCCGGGACCTGGAAGCGCCTGGTCCCGTTAAGGTTTTAACTCCTGTTCCTGTTCTTAATTCCGTGTTTGGGATGGATCAGCTGGCTATGGACTTCCTCTTGTGTTTTTGAATACCCTCTTTGAATTACTCTTTTGGATTGTTTTCCTCGGCAACACCTTCCCCGTGCACCAGCGCACTTTGGACACGCCCCCCCTGTTTTCAGCCCCGTATTCCTGCATGACGTTTCCCCAGTGTTTCCCCACTCCGTCGGATTGTGTTGTCCGCATAGGGTCCGGAAAGAACTGTTCGTTACACAAACATACAGTGTGGTAGGAGTTACAAGCAGGCGTGTGACACTTTCTGACCATATGATGTGCAGTATTTAGATAGATAATAGATAGATAATACTTTATTAATCCCGTAGGGAAATTGATTTATCATGTTTTATAACGTTTGCAAATGACAGAAGGCCATTTGACCCATCTAGCCTGTTTGCGCGTAGCTAAGTGACCCAAGCATCTCATCCAGAGATTGTTTTGAACGAACCAGCAGTATGGACTACTACTACTAATAATAATAACTTAATTTCAGGTGCAGTTTTTAATAGCATGTACAGTAATTGGCTAACAAAGTTTTTATGAAAATGTAGTCTTCTTAATAGAATGGGAGCTGCAGAAGTCATATATTCATGATTAAAATCCAGCTAATACGATCTTTAGCAATGTACAGTAAATTTGCTTTACAATGCTGAATAAAATATGTAATGTTTCTTAACAACCTCCCATTAGCAGTTTATACAGCATATGTGGAATTAAGTATAATCATCTCTTTACTGTACAGTATAGAGCTTCTACTTATAAATAATTCATGAATACCTTGTTTCTCTAAAGTTAGTAATTTACTAATTAACACAAAGTGTTTTTTATATTACTTATTAATTATGGAAAACACTTTTATATAATATACCGCATATTTTTTCTGTTTGAAGACTGCTTCCAGTTTGGAAGAAAAAAAAATGCCTTCAACGAAAATTCCAAATGTAGATCAAACACTTCATCAACTGCTTTCCTGACATGTGGGCTAAGCAGCATGCATTCGATATTTTGACCTACTTCTTGTGATCGCTTAATCTTTTAGCGGTTTTGTGTCATTTTTGGTTCATAGTTTCATCTGCATAACGATTCCTATTATTCCTGTCCAGATTGTCACAGACTGATGTGAGGTGTTGTGAGCTGAAGAAGACCCACTGGAACACATATACAGCTCATTCTTCAGCAGCCAGCAAAGCATGTCCCTACTGGACACGTTTAGCCCAGTAGGAGGCTGTGTTTAGTCCAAATTGACTGGAATGCACTGGGACCTGACACGGTCTTTCAAACTCACGTATTTTTCTAATCATAATTTTACAACGCTTAACATATTTGTTAACTAATAGTGGCTCTATTTCAGCTTTTTAATTACACTGAGATTTCATATATTAAAAGGCTTTCAAAATAAAGTGGTAAACTGTTTGACTGTTTGATTAGCTAATTTTTATTATGCCTTTTGCAGATACATTTTTTATCATTTAAATGTAAGGCTGTTTTACATGGGATATTTTCCCACAAACACCACAACAGGGAAAACATATTTAAACAACAAATGTATGAGTTTTGCAGTCTAATAACAATTAATATATTTAACAGTGAATAAAGTATTTCAAACAATCAACATGTCATTGTGTGCAATTTTATATGCAGTGTATAATTTCCATGCTGTATAACATTTATTTTACAAATGTCTAGGTAAAATCCAAATTAAAGTACCAGGCTGTGTGTGTCTGATTCCTTCTGCAGTTTCATTGGGGTACAAATGCCTTTTGTTGTTAAGTATTGCTGTATGATGGTTTAAATTAGATGCCATATTGTGATAACTCATGCCATTATACTGCAGGCTGTTGCACTCTCTCTGGATTCCACCTGTATTTTGTTTAAATGAACTAATAAGCTAATTTGTTTCTTGCCATTTGTGGGAAACCAGTATGCATATGTGATTTCTACAGTAGATCCCTATTCTAAGTTCATATGATGAAAGTAGATTTCTGTGCCAGTTATAACCATTTTGTTACTTCTGCTCAAAATCAACCACCAGGAAATCAATTTGTTACTATGGGATTAGAGTGTAATGGCAATATGCTAGTAAGACACTGAAGGATCTTTCTGATAAAAAGTGGTCCTCACTTAAAGCAGAATGTACATTAAATGCACATAGAGATAGTGTCATGAGACTACCTTTGCAGACTGAACAGATGCTTGCATTTTTGCACATGAAAATACTTCAGTGGTTTCTGGGTATTACAGCAAAAGATTTTGGTGTTAAATTTTTTGTTGCTCAATTTCCTGTGGCTTGCAGCTGAAAATTTTCTGAAGGTGTCTCTGTTCTCTTTTCCTCCTTCTGGGTGGTTTCCATCAAGGCTGCTGTAGAGAAAATTCTTTCTTCCTAGTGTTTAATCTCAACAAGGGCCCAGCTGTAGCTGAGATCACAGACTCTTCACCCACGCCACTCAGTCATTGACTTCTGCTTCTGCGCTCGACGACCTGATCTTGAACTTGGAGAAGGCCGCCAACTCCTACCATGCCTTTCCAGTTCTGCCTGTGACTGTGGGTACAGTTCTGAGACATTTCGGGCACTTCTTTTCCCTGGAACAACCACTGGGTCCTAAAGACACCTGGGACTCCCTCTATGTTTTGAGAAATGTTTAATTTCTGTCCAGGTGAAATAATTCGTCTTCTTTCCCTGATGTAAACAGGAGTTGGGAGAAAGCAAGGCAGGCCAGATGTTTTCTCCAGGGGTACAACAACCCTCTTTCTGCCTGCTCATTGGACTCCATTCCTTAAGCTCTGGTACTCCCTTCAAGGATCTGAGCAAGGAATTGCTTACTCCTCCTCTCATTAGTGTTCTGTTAGGGCCAGGCTTCTTCTCCTTAGAGAACCCCTCCCTACATCGCCTGATCCAGGACACAGTCGCTCCACCTTCTGTCAGCACTGGTCCTGCAATCGCTTACCTATCAACAACCAAAAAGTTCTGTCATACAGTATGTAACTTTTCTTATTTTTTATAAGCTGTAGAATGGCAAACAAAAATGTTGCTCGACATCGTTTTTAAAGTGTGTTGCATGAAACCAGTCTGTGTTTGTATTTTCCTTTTTAAACTATAAAACCACATGTGGTACATTTTAAACCCTAGTCTCCAGCACTTCCACTCATTTAAAAGTTACCACTTCCCCTTCACTAATCTAACAGAGTTATTGTAGTCTTGTTTACCACCTCATGACGTATGAATTGCTAATTTTAATAAAATTTCAGATTGGAAGGAAAATTATAATAAAAAAGCAACATTTGGTAAGGACAACAGAGGGTCTGGTCAAATAAAGAATTGGTCTAAATTTAACTCTTTAGTTCTGTTGCATTAATAGTATACAACATTGTTATCACTCTATTAATCTGTTTTCTGCTTGACAGTTTCAAATCATTTTCGTGGTTCAGTCACAATAAAATAAAAAATAAAAGTAATTTCCTGGTAGTTCTTTTGATCTTTCTGTCATCTTATACCTTCCATCACTGAAACCACACTGTTTCACAAATATACTGCTGCAAAAAGATTTCAGCTGTCCACTGTTTCCATTGTGGGTTTATGCTAAATACGTCTATGAAAAAGACATTTGATTAAACTGATATTTCAACCACATTCAAGCTCAATCTGCAATGCCTATACGTTTCTTAAATTTAACAAATTCATCAATTGCAACAATGCTTTAGCTGTCTGAATATGCATAGTTATTAAATTAAGATAGATAACAGCAAAATACAGTGCAGAACATACCAAATACTGCAGGTATACAGTACTTGTGATTCTCTTTGAGTTTCAAGTGCTATAAAACTGTCAAAGATATTGTATTGACAGACATATAGTAAAATAAAGGGTCAAAGAATTTCAAATAATTCATAATTTTAATTACTTAAGCATGGTTCTGCTATGATTGTTTTAACTTATTTTATGTTTTTAATCCTATGTTTAAACACAATTTTAAGACTTGCAGCAGGGTTGAATTTGAATGCTGACTGCACTCCACTTTATGGTGTTCTGCAAAGAGTCTTAGTAGAACTGTGGATTCACAAAGCAAACTTTAAAATGAGAACTGCAAATTCTGCTTTCAGTGCTTCTTTTTTTCCTATAAATTGTCTGTAGGAAAGGTCAAATTTAACATTGACATATTTAATGTCAACATACGGAGTTTATAACACACATCTGTGAGGAATGTTAGATCTTAATCTAGCAAACATCCACTTGCCTACGTATATATAAACCCAAGACTTTCCTTTGCGTGTCTCTCTCTCACTCTTCCTGCCACCCCACATAGACTCTTGCAACAGCTCCCTAGCTCATTCCTATTCCTTGCAATACTGAGAGGGGTTGGGCAGTCCAAGTACACAGACAGGCTGTCACATACTTTGAGTCATCCCAAATACTTCCTACACATTTAATAGCTCTATTGCATTCATTTGGATCTGACTGAATCACTGAAATTTACATTTATTAATATGAGCAACCAACTATCAAAACAGACTGATCTAACACAATATTCCAAGAACATTATCAGAATTAGACGAGTTGTTCAGAAACCGGAAGATCTCATCAGATAATAAAGCTATCTTGGTTCACACATGGGGGTGTTGTTCACTGTGCTGAACAGGCATAGCTTTGTGCATTACAAATTACAAAATGAACACTATATTGAATCCAGTTTAGTGGTTTCGACTGTATATCTGTTTGTCTTGCAGAAATTACTTAATTAATGTAGATAATTTTGAGTTTAGATATATAATATTATCTTTCAACTGGTGGTCTAACTATACAGACATATTGTGATGCAGACATGAAGTATTATATTAATAAAGCAGTACTCTACACTAATATTCAGTAATTCTTACTTGTTATTACATCTAGTTTTTAATTAATTGGGTATTGAAAACTAGCTTTAGTATATCACAGTACGTTTTGCATTTAGTCACTTATTTTGTGAAACTTAATTGATTAAATTGTGCTGTGTTGGATAAAGGAACTAAATGAAGTGTGATATTATTGATCACACTTCATTTAGCTCCTTTATCCAACACAGAATACTATAAATGTTAATAACTTATAATGCTCTACATGATGCTTTTAACTTTGCTTTTGCTTTTGACTCTAATCATTGGTCTAATTTTATAGAAGGACTCAGCTCATATTAGATAAGCCATGATTTAGATAAGACATGGCTAGCATTGACAGAATGACAACTGATCAAGTGTATACTGTATAAAGTGCATGTTGATCTCTTGAGAGTAATGAAGTGTATCAGATAATCAATGTACCTGAATAATAAGCAGATAAGGATAGCATTTGATGCAGATTATAGGTTCTGTAAATAATGTATTGTTATAAAATCCAATAAAATCTAATATCCCTAAGTACTTGGGTACTGTAGTATAACACTTTGCTGGTTAATCCATTAATAAAATCATATGTTATTCCCACATGATTAGCATTTGGAAAAACATGCTTACATAGAGATTTTGTTTTGTTTTAGGCTGATTTCTAACATGTGTTAAGTGAACTAGTCTTCTACCTTAAAATACATGACACTACTATCTACCTTTTCTGTAACTACCCTTGAAAAGCTGTTCAGAGGTCTGACGTTTGCGATACCTGGAGGATGTCCTTGCTGGCTTGTTCTTTACAGAGTATTTGTGACTGAAAGTTATTTCCTTCTTCAGAAGATCAACCTGGGATATTGCATGCATCCTGAGACGCTCAGATGAAATTAAACCTGTTTTATTCCCTTCTTTCCTTATTACATTGAGTTGACTTTATTATTGTGGATGGGAGGGGTTTTGTATACGCACATCTGTAATATATATTTTTTTTCTGGCAAGGGGCTCAGTTTGTGCTAGTATTTTGCACTGCCTCCTGTTCATCCAAACTGAGATTTACATTGGATTTGTCTTCCTCCACATCCTGGATTCAGCACTTCTTTCAACCTTGTGGTTCTAAGGTAACCTTCTCACTGTAATTACTTAAAATATCGAATTGTTATTTCAAAATTAACTAACACCTTGTAATAGAAATATATTTTTTCTTTTCAACAAAGGATGGTGGAGATACAGACTGTTTAGTCTTATATTTTAGAGTTGTAAAATACAAACCCCTCCTTTAACTTAAGGATCCTGAGGTGCTCTTCTTTCTTTGTTTAATGTGCATAGATTTTCCTGTTTATCTTTTTTGAATCCTTTGCTTAGAAATAATTTTAACCTAATTCAGTTCCTATTATTGTAACTAAGCCTTCGAATAAGGCAAATTTGTCATATGTTAGGATTGTGTGCATAAATGTAGTGAGAGATACAGCATACAGTATACTGCCAAGACTAAATCAATCTGGGTTTCTAGTCACTTATTGTGTGTATCTATAAATTGATTTTAAAAACTGTAGGTTCTATTAGTAGTATGAGATATTTAACCATACCTGACTTAGATCCTAGGTTTTTCATAAAGAATAGAAAAAGAAGGTTCTGTGAGAGTCAGAATTTCTAGCACAC